GTTCTATTCATAGAGCTTGTCACATGTGGTTGTGGGTTTGAATCCTGAAATGGACTGTTTTTTAGCTCGACTTTTCTATGAAAAGGGGAGCTATCCTACTCGCCCCGGCGTCGGCGTCGGCGTCACACCTTGGTTAAGTTTTTCGTACCACCCCACTTTATTTCAGAAGTATTACAAGTATGGCTTTGAAACTTACCATACTTGTTCACCATCATAACCTCCATCTACAGACAAGAGTACATAACTCTGTCAAGGTTTTTGACAGAATTATGGCCCTTTTTTGACTTAGAAAGTGTATTGAGCTTGGTTAAGTTTTTTGTACCACCTCACTTTATTTCAAAACCATTGGAGGTATTGCTTTGAAACTGACCATACTTGTTTACCATCACGACCTTCATCAACAGACAAGAGGACATAACTCTGTCAAGGTTTTTGACAGAATTATGCCCCTTTTTGACTTAGAAAATACATTGAATATGGGTAAAATCCACTTATTGCCTTAACCCTTTGAGATATTGCTTTGAAACTTTTAATGCTATTTCACATCATTACCCCCATCTGTACGCAAGAGAAGGTAACTCTGTCAAGGATTTGTTTTAAAAATTAAGGCCTTTTATCGACTTAGAATCTTGGTTAAGTTTTTAGTACCAGTCCACTTTTTGACTGAACTGTTTGAGATATTAATTTGAAAGTTGGAATACTTGTTTCCTTCATGATTCCCAAACATGTCCAGGAGAAGGTAATTCTGTCAAAGATTTTATTTGAATTATGGCCCTTAACTGTCAATGTTTTGTATTATAGGCAAGCACTAAAAAACTTAAAAAATCTAAAAAAATTCATTCCTATCCACTTGTTCACTTTACCATAAATTATGTCATAATAAAATAATTCTTCACTAAATATCTTAATGCTCATGGCCATTGTTCACTTTAAAAATACAGAGATTCTTGTATTGCCTTTTACTGCAAAAACTTTTTTTATTGGCAAGCAATAAAAAAGTCGAGCGCGCTGTCTTACGGACAGCTCTTGTTTATAAGGCTTGTACTAAATTAAATAAATATAAAAAGAGGCATTATACCTGTATTAAAGCGGTTATAATGTCACACCTTATAAGCCACCCCAACAAATCCTGAGACTCCTGCATACTAATATTGACCTTGCTTTAACATTTTTGACTCGATCACAAATTACAGCAAACATAGGTTAAATAATTTTACGAAAATGTATCAGCTAGACACTAGCTTCATAATTAAATGACTTAATAAGAAAAGAATGCAATATATTTTGTCAATCTATATTAATAAAAAAATATACTAATGTGAAATGTCTGACCTGTCATTGAATAAAAAAGTTAATGATGATAGGTTTAAGGAAATAGATCTTTCTTTTTATTAATTCCCTCACATTCACCTTAAACCTTTAATTAGCTTATGTTTTGTTGGTTGCTATGGCAACAAATGGCCATCATTTTATATAGTTGAAGTTGTGTTATGAATTTTGACTTGCTTGTCATAAATGCCCTTTTAAAGAGCTTTTATATCCCAAGTGCTTTGTTAATTTTAACAATGTTTGGACAGTTTTCACTTTACAAAAATCGCCTGGCAGATCGGTTAGGTAAATATTTACGCAACACTTTTAATCAGAAAGTATAGGAAAAGGTTGCAGTTTATCGAACATTAAAAGATTTGAATTGCAATCAATTTTAAATAGATTTTAGTAACAATTAAGGTAGATTTTTACAAAAGATAATTTAATTTTGATTTCGTTTCTTTCTGACAAGAGAACAAATGTGCCAGTCACTGTTGGACCATAAAAACGATTGTTGTAGATAACGAAAAATTTAATGTGCTTTGAAAAATGCACTTAATGTTAAATGTGATTTGTTATTATTATAAATGCCTTTAAATTTATTTTAAACCTTCAGTTTTTACTAATGTATTTTGATTATGGGTTCGCTCACATGTTTGCTTGTGTGATCAAGGTTAATTTTTACAGAACAAAAATCCCTATGGGACTTTCAGTCCGGAAATAAGTCATGATATTGTCTACCTGATATTTCCTTTATTCCAAGAGAAATCAATTTTTCTGTAATAAACATAGATTACATAGAAATATTTTGTAGAAATTTAAGAACATTTGCATGGGACTTGAATTTGAAAAAGACATTTCACAAGGAATTTAACTAAAAATCTCTGGGTTTTTAAAGGGGTCTGCTTGCCATCATTGCTATTTTACTATACACTACTCCAATCAAAAGCAGGTTTGTTTAAAGCCAATCACTTCCAGCCAATCAGAATACAGCTTTTATTGAGTCACAATCGACAATGAAGCCTATTTTTGGCATCATGCCTCCTACTTAACTCTCACTTAATCTTATCTGACTTAAAACAAAATGTGTGCAATATAATAACAGTAGTCATCATTTGTAGCATACCTTTTCCATATAATGCAAGTAAAGTTAAGTACATCATTAAAAAGAAATATGAAAAAACATATTCCGTTTGACTACATATTTTTCAAACAATCAAAGAAATATATTATTTTATTCTTCGGATAAATAATGATACGAATGATTGACTTTCATATTTTTACAACCTATTTTAATGGGTTAGCCAGCTGCATAGTTGTCATATTTGTCAGTATGTTAACAATAACATACTTTCATTACCTTTCTTATGGCGAAGGTCTATATCCTAAAAAGATGAAAACTTGAAGAAAGTAAGTCTTCAACAAGTTGTCTTACTGTAACACTTACATATCTTACACTTGCTACATATCTTAAGTACATATCTTACACTTGCTACATATCTTAAGTAGACTAGTCCATCTTTATCTGGACATAAATTTGTTCATTATTTTTAGGGAAAATTTCAAAATAAGTAACTCAGACTGCATAGTAAACAGTGTGGACCATAATCAGATGGTACAAATAAGCCAACTGTTGATGGTCTGCACTCAGATCGCATGGGTAGACTCTGTTGCTGCTAGTATGCTAAGGGTCAAAGCTACCACTCCATCTGTCGAGAAATAAAAATATATTCATGATCAAGATATAGGTTGATGTTATATAAAATAATGAAATAAGTGTCTGGCAAGACTATTCAATACCATTCATAAAATGTGACCAGACTTGAAGAATTCTTATTCAGCTCAAAATTGGAACATTTATTTTACAAGGATATGTATGTTTATTGTAAAGTTAGAAGACATAGATGTTAATAGTTATAAAATTAAGTATTAGGTATAATTATATATAATTATATATCCCTGCTAAACATTCACTGTCTGACACTTGAACAGCTCTTTAAGTCTGTCGATAGTTACTTGAAAGTCTATTAATAAGAATTATTTGTAACTGTAACATGTACATGTATTTAAGCCTAAAACTTATATGGCTGACTTAAATTGCCCTTTGATTTATAGCTGCCATATTAACAATAATATCAGAATGACAGTGCACTATCAATAAATTTTGTATTTTGCTTAATTTCCGTGTACAAGATAAAATATCGTGCCAGCTGTGACTATAGAGTAACAGGACCCCTTGATATATAATCCTGGTAATGCTACATGTAATATGAATGTAAATACACCTAATTTCAAATATTTGTACGATATAAGTTATAAATAATGATGTTACAATGGTAACATAAGTTAGGAATATAAATGATATTGCTCGTATAAGTGGCCGGATAAATAATTATTGATGTATCATATGTGTATTTATGTTATTCGCAACTTATATATTCGATGTTTTGTACCAATTTCTCATCGCATAAATTTTTGTAATATTTGGCAACCTCTTTTTGAAATGGGATTATGTTGTGTTGCCTGGCTATTGTAATTACGAGGCTCATTGTTAATTGTTTACATATATATATGTATAAAACAGCCATTGATTGTGTGAATTTGTGAAAAAGCTGTTGCCGCAACATGTCTTGTTTGTTTTTCCTTTTTCCACTGTTTTAATGTCTTGAGTCACCAGATTTTCCCATAGAATATTCACAGTGTTAAATGTAGCATTCAGATACATGTATCGTGCTACAAAATCACTGGATGGTGTATAGTGATTGCCCTCGATTATGATTTTCCTTTTAAATATATACTTTATTTAAAGAAAACGGCCTTCTTCTTGACGTTTGTTTTGGGAAGTGACAATGTAATTCTAGCAAGATTAAATTGTAATTAATTCTCCCAGCACTTGTCTCCTGATGTTAATGAATGTCTCGGAAAATTATATAGTTGATTTGACTGGAGAATAATTGATCGAAAGTTTTGGACATTTTCTATAATAAGGGATGACAATTCCATGATGGCCGCCAGTGGGACAGACTTGGCTTGTCTGTACGCGATCAATAATTGTTTTTCCGTTCAGGAAATGGAATTGTTAGCAAGCCTAGGCGAACATGGCCTTAATGAATGTAATGTGATAAAATTGTCATTTAATTTACAGTGCAATGAAGTTGGGGTAAATTCTGCGGTCATTTGTTACTGTCATTTTGGACATTCAAAATGAAATTGGTTAACAGTATATTGTTGCTTCAAGTGTTAGTTCAGGCGTCGTCTTTTATTACTGAAAGTTAAAAAAAAACATACTTGAGTGACAAGTTCTATCAATATAATATTGCTGTAAATAATGTAAATCTGATAGTAGACGTATCAGCATTGAGTCAGTCACAGCTCTGTGTTATATAACATACAGGTTTGGAGCAGACGGCAAATTTTCTAGAGGGGGAATATTAATACGAGCATAAAATGACAGGGACTCTTGAAATTTTCAAAAGATAAGAATAATATACTGTCTGCTGCAAAACGTTTATCTACAGCTAGATTGAAATGATTAAAAATTTTACATCTTTTCTGTGATAGCTGTCTATAAGAAAAGTTTACAAATAGCAGTTTACACAGCCAAGTTGGCATAAGATTTTAAAAGTTATGTATAAATTACCTTGTGGGTGTTTTATTACATTGTGTAAACGTTTGTGCGTTTATATTTGCAGGTGAAGCTTGAAAACACAACAAACACAACGCCGTCCAAGGTGATCCATTTACGGAGCTTACCTAATGATGTCACAGACTCCGAGGTCGTACAGCTGGGTATACCGTTCGGCAAAATGTCAAATGTCTTGTTACTTAAACAGAAAAATCAGGTACATCAGATGTTTGATACAAAATAAGCTATATAGAAACATAAAATGTTAGAACATTTTGATTAAATAATGCCTTGAAGATGAAATAGATTTGACCATGCCGATGTTAACTTCAATTATATTGTTGAATATTTTGCGGTGCTTTAAAGTTAAAAAATATTCATTGAAAGTGACGTCAGTAAGCTGTGATTTTAGCATAAGCACTCTGTAATACATACATAAGTTACTACAAATATACATCATAGCCGTGAAGTTTTTTTTGTAACAAAATCATGCCCAATCTTTTTCATATGCACAGATAATAGAAATCCCCTTTGCTAGAAATATCTTTATTCTATATTGCGAAGTGTGACATGTTTTTTGCCACAAGCATTATGCAAGGTATCATACTGCCCTGTAAGGCTTGAAATCGCTGAGTAATTGTACCAACTATTTTAATTTTACAATGTTGCAAGGAAAGTGCGCTGGTTATGTGCACTTGTTTTTCTGTGCGGAATTAATACTGGTTAACAGTGATAATTAACTCGCATAATTTATGTTTTGATCAAAAAGCAGCCGAAATGTTACTAGTTTTATACACTCTCTGTAACAGAATACAATGACTCTAATTGAAAAATATCATATACCGAGGGCATCATTTGATGTAGTTTCTGCTTTGTTGGATTGTTCTGGTAGAAAATCCATTTTCTAATGTGTCATTACTAATTGATAGTAAATATGATGAGCTCAATTAATAATTTCCCATAATTGTCATGTGAATGGTTATCCTATAGATACCTTGGGGAAATTAAATAAATATTGCTTAGTAACGAGCACTGATCATTTTACACGAACTTTTCTATTACCAACAGATCGTATTGCAAGAATGTCACTAGTGACTGGAAATAACGTTAGCCGTGGAAACTGCCGTAGCCATCTTTCATATTTATATAACGACTATATGACATTAATGACTAGCTGACATTCTTCGACAATTAGTCGAAATTATTTTCTGGTATTAATGTTTTGCCCATATAAGGTTAAAATATGTAATAAAAAAAAGTAGTTATTGGTTATTGTACTTTTAAGACAAGTCTACGCAATAACTGCAAAGAAACTTGTGGTGTGTTATAGATCTACGCAACACAGATTGTTTTATGTTATCATTACAACTTTTAATTTTGTTTTCTTACCAAATATCGAGACATTTTCATCACTTTAGTGCAGTAACGGTCCAAGTCTGTCTAAATTTTAATGGAAGTTAACTGGTTATTGCACTAAGATGACGTAAAAATTGTTTGTTTCAACAGTGATGTAATTTAGTTTTTCCTCGCTGTATTCCATGAGTAATATTGTAAGCGGGAGACTTTTAAAGTTAATATCTGATAATAAAATACTGTTTCCTGGCGTTGTCTGAAGGGCATAGACAGCGCATAGGAACCGAATAGGAATTTCTGAAGATGTCCCCAGGACTTGATTTATTGCAAATGAATTTACATTTATTTGCCAGCCGGGCTTGTAATAGAAGTAAATTGGTGCCGACTGATGATTGATAAATTTACCTTGTTGGTATCTCCACTGTTTTGTGCAATCTTTAATTCAATATGCATGCAGTTAATAATTTTGGATTCTGAAGATTACGTCAATTTTAGTAAGAATGTTTTTCAAGAATCCTAACAAGAAATTCCATTTTCATTCCAAAGATATTTTTTATTGCTATGTTAGAATCTGCTCTGAGAGAATAAATAAACATTTGCACTTGTATATTGCTGCTTTGCATATGATAAACATCAATTTACCTGTAAATGTATATGAAATTGTGTAAAAATAATATAACGTTATTAATTGAAATTAAAATGAAAAGAAAAAAAGCATGATATTTGGAGACAGTTTTAGCAAAAAGTCTCCAATATTCAGCACATAATTATGAATTATTTAAAAAAAGTGAACAAAATATAAATATTTTTTGTGCAAAATATTCGACTAGCATTTTGATAGGTTTTAGGTTTTGTGATGATTTTATGGATACTCCACCCACTTTTAATTGTGGTCGAGGGGTTAGAGTCGATGACTTCTAATCCAGTTACCTCTCTGGTGTAGGTTCGATCCATGGGAGATGCTTTGGTAGTTTAGCATGGAGGAAGGTAGTCTAGTACTGGTGTAACTCTCCAGGAACGATGGTAAGGAAACTACCCGCCTATACTGTTGGGAAAAGGCGTAAAATGAAACAAACGAACAAATAATCAGAAATCGTCCTTTTAGTTTTGGTACATTGGGGATGATTTTTATCAGGATACTACCATAATGTCCTACCCATAACCCACAAACCATTATCTTTATTTTTATAAGTATTATTTTATTCCAAATTTATATTTACAGGCTTTCTTAGAGTTTGAGGACGAGTCTGTGGCAACAACATTTGTAAATTACTACACAAAGATGCCGTGTCAAATACGTGGCAAACAGGTCTACGTTCAGTTCTCGCAACATAAAGAACTCAAAACAGATCAGGCACATTCATTTCAGGTGAGCATTTTGTTACCATGAGTTCTTATATCTGAACAAAGGCAGAATTGATACAACTCAACATGCAAGTGTGTAAAAATCAAAGTAACAAAATTAGATTTACATTGAAACATGTAGTGTAATCTTTCCTTTTGGTGTTGAAATTTATCAGCAATCGTTAGAAGTTCAAAGACTTCTGCAGAGAAAATGACATGTATAATGTAAAAAATAACAACAACAATAATACAAAAAAAAAACAACAACAAAAAAACAGTTGAATAATGGACTGATGTTTTTTTCCCACTATCCCTCCTAATTCTGGCCATGATAATGACTTGTCAGTACCCTTCAGTATGACAAGTAATGAGTCAAGTCAGCTTGCGCAACCGCACAGTCTGACTAAACATATTTCCTGTTGGTCGCTCATTTATCATTTTAGTGTTGAAATCCCTTGAAAATACAATCAACTTTTCCAACTTCAAAGGTGGGATAAGTCCATTTCAGTTATTCAGGAGGTATAGAAAGTTAACTATAAATACATAGAGGATATTTAATTTTTTATACTACAATTTTGACATAACATTTTGAAAGACTTCCCCTAAAATTTTGAGTATTAGCTGAATTTAGGAGTAAGTAGTCCAGCAAGATACAAGTGAATATTATGGAAAATATATTTCACTAAATTTTTACAGTGAAAATACGGAAAATGAATATATGCAATTTATTTCGTCAATATTTCTCAATATATCATTTATAAGTAAATAATAAACATAGAAATTTTTCGTCTGATTTCTCTCGTGAGACCCTGTATGACAAACTAGAAAGTACGTAGAAATAAATGAATATAAAGTACTGGCAAATATATCAGTAAAGTGAAAGGCACGCAAATGAATGGTTCTATAATAATGGAATTATTTATGACAAATATAAAAATCAATTTCATTTTCTTCCGATTTATTCTTGTCTTTAACCTGAAAAATTATTAAAACATTCATCAAAATATTTCTAAGAATGAATTATTTATGGTTTTGTTTTTAGGATGCTGTTTTGTTGAAATTATGATTTATTTCTTGCTGAAATTGAATAAATAAATATGTTTAATGATTCTGTGACAGCATTAATCAAATTCGTTGAATTATGGCTGAACGATTGTTTTTATTTCTGTAATAGACTTCCTTAGAATTTTTTTTTTTTTTTTTGGAAACGTTATTACTTCAGCAATTCAGTAGCATAAAGAAGTAAATGAAAAACTTTTACAGATTATATTTCAAAATGTTCACATTAATCATGTTACATTTGTATACAAACATTTTGAATCATAATATAATCATTTTAAAAGGGATGATTACATATTATTATATAGAATGTTCACATCTTGGTTTAGTTGATTTTCAATGTTTTTTTTGGGGTTTATTTTTTTTTTACTTTTTTTTTTTTTAACAATTTGCAATATGTATTTGTCTATAGTTGTTTCTAAAATCTAATATGTAACTTAGCATACAGACTTGACTGGTTAGTTCCCCTTCCACATTGACAATATCCTATTGCTAGTAAACTGCTTATTTCCATGGGTACAAGGTTTTCAGGCATATGCCTGAAATTTATGTTTGTTATACTCCTGAAAATCTCTTTAGTCTATATAAAACCAAATAAAAGTATGCTTAAATTCAGGCACCCGGGTTTTACTCACATTATATTTTGATATTTTGTAATTGAATACTCAACTTGCTTGAACTGAAAGTGATTAAGTCTTTACCGCCAGTATAGAGCCAGGCCAGCCTGCACATCCATGTAGTCTGACCAGGCACTAGACTGTTGGGTATTTTGACATTGAAATCCCTTAAACTTTGAATGGACTGTTCTAAATTAAAAACTTGGCAAGTCCAATATGAAAGTTTTAGGGGGTAAAGTTTAGTTTTTCTGCCCCATTATTCATCTGTTAAGTGAACACAAATTTATCTGCCATTATCAGTTTATAGAGCAATTACGAAGATGAGTTTTTAATAGCAGAATTTTCCCAGTGAATTGTTAGATAAGGTGCTGACACTGCATTAGGGAAATAACATTGGATTTTAAAGGTCTTTTAAGATTTATTAATGCTTTTCTGTAAATTATTTGTATGATTTTTGTATGGCTTCAAATTGAATCAAAGGTGATTGAAATCTCTGAGGAGTTAGTTGTATGGCACGAAATATTTCATTTGTTAATTATAAAACAAAACATCGTGTTTTCTTTCTGGAAGGAATTGTTTAGAGAAAATATTATATGTGAGCATTTTTGTTTGTTTTTGTGTGTGTGCTGTTGTTTTATACAGAAATATTCACGTAGGGAATGAATTCTACCAGCAGTCTCAAACCGTCATAATTCATACAAAACATGGTTAGCAGTATCAAATTTTAGCAAATGCAGACAATCATTTAAATACTGAAAGCTGTTATTTACTTAGTTATGCAGGAAAGAAATGTTTACTTTTTACTTTTTAGCAAATTAGTTTCTTTTATTTATTAAGAGAATATAAACTTGCTAAATGTATGTTTTTACATATAGAAATTCAGTTACGAATTGTGAAATTGCCAATTGGTTGTAAGAATGTTTTGAAATTTCTATTTTTAGAACCTGCCGATTGGTTGTAAGAATGTCTTGAAATTTCTATTTTTAGAACCTGCCGATTGGTTGTAAGAATGTCTTGAAATTTCTATTTTTAGAACCTGCCAATTGTTTGTAAGAATGTCTCGAACTTTCTATTTTTGGAACCTGCCGATTGGTTGTAAGAATGTCTTAAAATTTTTATTTTTAGAACCTGCCGATCAGTCGTAAGAATGTCTTGAAATTTCTATTTTTAGAACCTGCCAATTGGTTGTAAGAATGTCTCGAAATTTCTATTTTTAGAACCTGCCGATTGTTTGTAAGAATGTCTTGAAATTTCTATTTTTAGAACCAAGCATCACAGGCAGCTTTGCAGGCGGCACAGCAGGCTCTAATGGGAAACGGGGACAGTGACGGGGTCAAGAAAACTGTCCTTCGTGTTATAGTAGAGAATCTAGTCTATCCTGTCACTATAGAGGTTCTTCATCAGGTAACTGTAGTAACCAATATTTCCTGATCATCTTAAAAAATTTTTAAAATGTTCTTACATAAATATAGGAAATTTAAAATCTGAATATTTCGCCCCTCTATATTAGTGATAGAAGGATATTGTTGATTTCTTTCTGTGAATTAAGACATTGTTGCAACAAACACAATTTATACTTTAATAAGGACTATTTTATGACAAATATATGGCGAAATGCTGTCATTTGAAATTAGAATTAAATTTAGTGTTGTTGTACCTTTGTTGTGCATGTTTGATTTAAAACATGACAAATCAAACAATAACTGGAGAAACATGCGTTCTTAAAGAGATTCCACCATTGAAATGATCTAAATCCCAGCAATAAAATATAATTCCGCATGACTGTTAATGGGAGATTGTGAAATAAACTGAAATTAACGAGTGCATTAGAATAAAATTGAATTCAATGGAAATCCCCCACATCCCACTGTAATTTTGGTGTTAAAATTCTAAGAATTTGTAATTGATTAATTGCATGGTAGTTAATTTTAAGGGTGTATTTTTTTTTCTTCGTTTTCTGTGAAATTTATTGATAATGATAGTTTTGTTTAAGATAGTTTTAGGAAATAATTTACACGAATGTTAGTGGTCCCTCGAGAATAGCATGATGATAATTACGTTTTGTGGTGAATTGCAAATAAATATAAGGTTGAATTTAGCTTCAAAAGAATTTAGAATAGATAGAATGTTTATGAGAATAAATGGCTTGATAATATCAAACATTTACTTCATATTGATTGTATTGCTTTATCTATATGATAAATAATTTTGAATTTTCTAAGATAAACTCTTGCTCAGAAATCTTTGCACTTAACTCGTTTTGGCTCAACTGTTCAAAGAATAGTAAGAGATATAGAGAATAAGGAAATGACATCACACTTCGTTTAAGATTTACGGAGCAAATTAATAATCTCCAAACTCCAAAACTACAGAAGGGAATGAGTTGAAACTTTACACTCTTATTTGATAGTACAAAGGGTTACTGTCCATTGGCCCTTAACTCTTAATATGAATTTTGACTCAATCATGGCCCCTTTTTGAACTTCGGAAATTCTACACTGTCCAAGCTCTTGTGATACCATCAAGCTCTGAGAATAGTTAGAAACATTGTCCTCCCGACAGCTCTTAGGTTATATTATACTCTAAAATGTATAGAGAAAGTTAAGAAACTAAGAATGCTTAGGTTGGGGTGTTCTTCTTGGATACAATTTAAGGGTTTGAGAGGGAATTAGAAATTGAAATGTTTTCAGTTCTGTATTTCTGACTCATCTGTGAAGAAACTTGCTCGTTAACTCTTGAAATTTGCTCATAAACTTGGATAATTTTTTTCTCTCGATTGTTTTTGGGATGTGTTTCACGACTCGTTTTGCATGCCAAGCGTGATGTAATATCAACAATATAAAAGCAAAGTTCTGCTGCAATTTTGTCTGCTAGTGAAGTCATGAAACCCTCTTGAAATGTGAATAATTTCTGATTTAACTGTGCTGTCACAGGCTGCAAGTGATTGATTTAGAAATTCCGGAATTTGTTTGGGAATTATTGAATGCTGATATAAAAGAGCATTCTGTCTTGTAGATATAGTCGTGATTTATGGGTAATTAATGCGTCTCAAATTTGAACAATGTATTTTGGTTAAAGAAGTAAGTGTAGACACAATTACTTCAGGTCCATTTTTCCTCTCACAAACTTAATGAATATCTAAATTTTACATCGTGATAAATGTAGGAAGCTATACTAAGATACTGAGGTCTGCAGTTGTAGTAATATGCCCTTAATAGATTAATGAAAGAAAAATTATGTATAACTAGTTCAAATTTTGAAAATGTGCTATATTTTATTTTTCAGATCTTTAGCAAATTTGGTAAAGTGTTAAAAATGATCATCTTCACAAAAAACAGTAAGTATATTTGCCAAATTTTCACTTATTTTAAAGTCATTAGCTCTTTTGCGCTCTGGCTGCAATGATGAAAGTTAATCTAGTCTGTCAGTATAGTCCTAGACAGGGCTGCTCATCCTGTAGTCTTACCTGCCTCTTTATTATATGAATCAAACTCACTTCAGTGTTAGAGCAGAGTACCTCGAGACGCTTGCAAAAGTCATTTAGACCCGCTTTTTTATGCGGATCTTTACATTTTTCATTCATTTATATTTAAATCAATGTGAAGAGATGATTTAGACCTCTAAAAGTGCATTTTGGTTGTTGAAAAAGCAATAGATTTTAGAATTTAATCATCCATGCGCCTTCCTGTATATACTGGAATACGGTATTTAGTTTGGTGCTCCAATACATTGTCTAGACTCAGTCTTATTATATTCTTCTTAATTTGAGTATTTTAATATTGATATCACTTAAGTTAACAAAAGACAAGTACGACAACCCTGTATCATAAAACTATCATGGTAGATGTAGTGAATAGTAATATTCAGCTTTAAAATAGATTACGATTTAAAAAGATTGTTCGATTCTAAAGCCTGTCAATCGTTTGAATGTACGATGTCCTAAAATTTGTAGACAGAGAGATGGAATTTCATTTAAATGCATATTGGTTTTGTAAAACGTCGACAAGTTTTGCATATTGAGTAAGGCAATATCTCAGAATTGGTGTTGTTTAGAAATGGAAACCTGTCACAAGTTGTTATATCTGATACACTGAATGACGGCTGTTCTACGGAGAAATGTCAGTCAATTCTTACTCTTCGAGGCAGTCTTATGGCTTTATTTTCTCACTCGTAAAGATGTTGAATTGGGCATATATTTCAAGATTGTCAGTTATTATGTCATATTGTAGTGTAATAGGTAAAATAATTGTTTTGTAAATTCTACATTGTAAGTATTAACAGACCATCGCAATATTGGTGTACTATATCGCAAAATTGGTGTATCTGGTACATTAGATTTAATTTCTATTTTTATGCATTGAACTCTTATGAGATAATTCTAGTTTTAAAAATATAAAAGAGCCAAAGAAAAAGGTTTGAACATACTTCTTTTACTATAAGACAGTTATTGCATTGTATATGAGGTATTTTTGTGTACAATTTACTTCGTTATATACAATGACAGTATTGTTCACTATAAGAATATGCCTGTTGGGAATAGCATAAAAAAACTGTCTTTCAGTGTTTTCACACTTTCAATTTATAGTTTCCCATGGGGAGAAGATAAAAAGGTATAAAGTAAATTAATGAACTGTGTATCCAGACATATCTCTTTGATTTGTTTTTATATTTCACCCAGGCAGCTACAAAGAGGGATAAAAGCTAAGTTTGCATTGATGTTGCTGAAAAGAGAGATTGTTTTTTCATGTAATACATGAAAACAAATGAAAAAAAATGAGGAAGAAGGAGAGAAAAAGTTGTGAGAGAATTGCATTTTTTATGTATTTTTAATTTTGAACAAGTCATTATATCATGTGACGATGTTCCATCATGTGACGATAAATAAGTCATGTGATCTAAAAATATGTTATGAAGTTTTTAATGTACGTTTTTTTTTTTCAGACACATTCCAGGCGTTGATCCAGTTTGGCGATTCTGTGTCGGCCAATGCAGCGAAACTGGTAAATATCCTTTCTGTTTCTCTGTAGGGTAATCGTACTAATGTAATTGGTCAAAAGAAAGCTTGAATAATGTATTTGGTCATAAGAAAGCTTGAATAATGTATTTGGTCATAAAAAAGCTTGAATTTTGTATTTGGTCATAAGAAAGCTTGAATAATGTATTTGGTCATAAGAAAGCTTGAATAATGTATTCAGTCATAAGAAAGCTTGAATAATGTATTTGGTCATAAGAAAGCTTGAATAATGTATTTGGTCATAAAAAAGCTTGAATTTTGTATTTGGTCATAAGAAAGCTTGAATAATGTATTTGGTCATAAGAAAGCTTGAATAATGTATTCGGTCATAAGAAAGCTTGAATAATGTATTCGGTCATAAGAAAGCTTGAATTTTGTATTCGGTCATAAGAAAGCTTGAATAATGTATTTGGTCATAAGAAAGCTTGAATTTTGTATTCGGTCATAAGAAAGCTTGAATAATGTATTTGGTCATAAGAAAGCTTGAATAATGTATTCAGTCATAAGAAAGCTTGAATAAGAATTGCGGAAGCTTCCATTGGTATGTTTCAAATCTGGATATACCGGAATTCTCTGTTCTAATAGCATTGGGAGACGAGACCCTTATATTCGGATCAGTTTGAACTTGCATGTATGGTTATTTTTCTTGTTATTTGATTTCAAAACCATAAATCTCCAAGTAATTTGTAAATTAAGTTGTAAATTCAATCACAGTGAAACTGGAGTTCTTTTTCTTGAGTTTTTGAATGAAAGAGCTTAGAAATGTTAACCAAAACACTAGAGTGCCGACAGTTATTGATATATCGCTAACAATTGAATTTCCTATGCCGGATTCTGAAATATAAAAGCTAATGTGATACACGCTGCCTCAAAGGAATCCCTCGTGCCTTTGAGGATCATTTTATAGAATTAATGTTGAAGAAGCTCGAAATTTAATCCATCTTTGACTCGTGAATGAGGTGTAAAAGAGAAGGCGAATAATGCTGCAGACATTAAAGTGACAATCAAAATAATCCTTTATGGAAGCACCAGTTACTTCTTGTAAGGGATTACTGTTATATTTGAAACCAGTGCAGAACTTGAAATGTTATTTTATGTATTATTATATAACTTTAATCTTTTATAAAGATTGCTTTATTTGATCATATGGCTGCTGTCTTTCTGAGAATCTTTTAGAGGGATTAATTAATTGGTTACTTTGACGATTTTTGTGAATACGAAAAAATGACCTACGGTAGTGACAGTGATGAACATGTTTGATATCAGTTCAATATCTATAACTTGTATGGCACACTTCTTTGGGTCCCACTTAATTTTATTCTTCATATATATAAAGTAAGCAGTTGAGCAAGCTTTTACATTTACATTTTTTGTCCATGTGTGCTTGAAATTTTGTAACATAGGGCTTTCAGATGTTCTTTCATCAGGAAATATTTAAATCACTAGTATTTTGTTGTAATGTCTATGTTTATATTTATATCCTTACATTTACGTTTCCAGTCTTTGGATGGACAGAACATATATAATGGCTGCTGTACACTGCGTATAGATTACAGTAAACTTGGTCAACTAAATGTACGGTACAATAACGACAAGAGTCGAGATTTCACGAATCATAATTTACCGAGCGGCGATCCCGGTCTCGATCAGGCCATGGCTTACAATCCAGGAGGTAAGAACCATGCACGTTTATAATATCAATATATTCTTATTTGATTTGATGAAATCACATGTTACTTAAGTTGTATATGTTTTGCTTATATGGGGACTTTTGCCTCCTGATACATGCAGAAATTTGGCTACATTGTGAAATTGAAAGAGTGGGTTTGACTCGAAGCTTAAATTGTATGAAACTTTTGGGAAAGTTCTGACTTCAAACAGCATTTTACGGTGGAGGTGGGGGAGCAAAAACAAAGGGTTGGTCTAATTTGTTAAGCTGGCAGTATTGAAATGTTTATATTTTGTACACTGCAATATTAATAACTGTTCTAATACATATTAAAATTGTCATGTTTGTAAAATTTAAATGACTACTGGGATATAAATGTAATCGTGTAAAGTGTAGAAAATATCGGTGAACATAATGCATAAGCCAAGTAATAAATCTGATTATTTAGCATGAAAGTCAATTTGATCGGAACGACTAAATGTTCATCATTATACAAGGTGCTTAATGCTTCGCTTAATGGGATCATAAACTAAGTATAATTCTATAATCCTAATCTTGTAATCCAATGTGACCTCGTCTTATCTCGTCACGGAATGACACGACTTTCATTCATACAGATTTATTTAAGTTAAAGTAATCTTTTAATACAAGCCAACTTTCTAATAACTGAACAATAGATTATTATTATTAAGTGCTGAGTTAACTTGTCAATTCATTATAATATATTGGTCAATCATAATTCTTCAGTTTTAGCGAATTTTTAAGTATACACAACTACCTATAATATTATAAATTAAAATTTTTTTTAAGTCACTGACTATTACAACATAGAAACAGAGATGTCTATAGTGAATTCCCATTGTAATAAAGTATTCAATAAATTTCTTAATTTCCGTTGGAAGAAATTTGATTCGTAGGCTGACTTGATATATTGCAGTGTCTCCCTCTCAGTTTATAGTATGTAATTGTATACATAACTCTTACAGTCTTCCCTACAGCAGCTGTTCTAAAGTTTCTGTTGTGAAAAATGGGGAAATTTAAATTTCACCGAGTTGTAATAATGAGCAATAAATACACAAAAGATTTTATTAAATTTGATCTGTCAGAAAGCAATGTTAATATGATATTTAAGAAATTGTTATGAGAAATGGGATATATATTTATTATAAAATTTAATTTTGTTGATATTTAACGAGATTTAACCACGAGCCAAACATTTTATGTTACCCTCAAGGCTTCCAACTCCCAACCCCTCTTTAACTTTAACTTTTTTAGAAGATGTATAATAGCATGGGTAAATGAATATCTGAAAACAGTTTCCCTCAAACCGTTTCTAACAGTATCCCCTCAAATTGCGTCATACCATAGCAACATGACAATTTTTTTTTTCATATCAAAATCAACTATGAAAGATAATAAAGTTTCATATCAAAATTCATTTCGCAATAAAAAGAAACCAGTGTGCAGCCATAAATTGTAATTTCTACTCTTGGTTTTTTCTTCCTCTCTTAAAATTCCTCATTTTTTTAAAAAAAAAATTTCAAGACCAGCACTTATTTCATTCATTTGCAATTGGCTACTTTTAAAGAAGAAATCTGGTTATTTTTAGAATTGGAGAATAAACATGGGTAATTGTTTGTCCGTTGATTAAGGCAGGTACATTCATGATCTAATCCATTGGAAATGTGATTTTAGGACACAAAAATAATTGTAGCGAGAAGAACTGACCATTTGTGTCTCGTTTAATGCTCACTAATAACTAGTTGCTGTCACAGGATATTGGGGTCATTATGTCTGGCATTGAGAAAAAAAAAATAGACCGACCATTACGCGCAATTACACAAGCCGATGCAATCCTGAATTTACTCGTCTACTTGCGCGACAATCTTTATCTTGTGCGATTTACAAGAGCTGCTTCTTTATTGGATCGTGTATCACCAATCAATACTTGCCAATATTTGCTGAAGACAGTTTGTCCCAAATGTCACTTTAGGTCATTTGATTGAAATTTTCCTGAAATTGCTTTTTAGCTGTAAAGAATGCATAATTAGATAAAAAAAAAATGGCTGTTGAATTGAAAGAAGAAAAGAATTAAGGTTAGGGGGAAAAAAACATGCAGTTAATATTAAGAATTGCTTTTTTGCCAATTTATTTTGTTTTTACATAAGAAATAACAATCAGTTTACACGGAAGTTCATTTTGATAAAAGTTGTTAATAAAAAGGAATGTAATAGAGGATTATATATGCCTTCATTTTGATTTACAAGTAAAGGCTATAAACAGGTGGGGCTTGAAAAAAAATGGGTTAATCAGGTGTGAAAAAATCGTTTGTTTTTATTTTGTGAAAAATTTTAAAGAACATTTTTTAAAGCTATTAAGCTTCTTTATATAGTACATGTATATGGAGAGGAGGTACAGGATGTGGATAACACTGGCGACGCCTCGTCATGTAACAATTATGATTTTGGTTATTACGAGAACTCTGGTAATTTGTTGCTGTTCTGCAAAGTTATTTCTGTTCAAATGTTATATGCTGTTCAACAGTTAGATAAAAAGTTAATTGTTCCCATTTTATTCATACCTTTATTTATTTTTTTATGATTATGTTACTTGTTATAACTTCCTTATCCAGCGTTAAAAGATTTGCCAGAATTTAAATGCTTGATGTTTTATGTTTCTTGTAAATTTCTGAACCCGCTTGAACCAGGGTAATAAGCCTTTGTAACCCGGTATAGAGCCAGGTCTGGTTGAGCATCCATCCCGTCTGACGAGGCTCTATGCACTTTTGGCTTGCATTATAATTAAATCAAGGCAAGTCTGTAGTCTTAAGCTCCGAATTATTTCGTAGATATCTATCTGAACAGAGTCATAGCTCCTCCGGAATTATTTCCCCCTTATTGCTTTTTTTAGGGGAAAGTCTTTACAGAATTACGTGTCTTTTATTGCTTTTTTTAGGGGAAAGTCTTTACAGAATTACGTGTCTTTGATTCATTACATTTAACATGTGATTTCATAAGGGAATTGAAATTGTATATCAACATGTATAATTAATAGATTCATGCTGTTGCTGTATTATAGTGTATAAAAAATCATTGAATATCAAAATTTGATTGATTTTATTGCAGAGAAATGTTGGAACAAGTATTTGAAAGCATTTTGCGAAAAAATAATGGCATACAACGTTTTGTGCCGTTTGACAGGAGAATGTCTGCATTTTTATGAAAATGTTCATGAAACGCACACCTGTTGCCTCGGGTTGTTAGCTAATACTGTATGGAATAAACTTCAGAAAATTTTGGCAGGCCTTCACGATCTGTGAGAAATGATTGTTTTATCAGTACATAAAAAAGAAAGTACATAGATATAAGGGTTATTACGTGTAATCAAGGTTTTTTTTCATGTTTTATTTGTTTTATGATGAAGCCCATTTCATAAAACCACAGTAAATAGCAGGTCTCATAAAATGAACAGCTGAATGAACAAAAATCTCACATTGTATAAAAATCAGTCCATGTCTTATATACTTCATCCAGTAACAATAAACATCAATTGACCTGATTTTATTGTAAGTAAAGTCAAAGGGAAGAAAAAACACTTTGTAATGTATTTTATTGAAAGAGGTTATCATGTACTAAAAAAAACCCACTCCAGTAACTGTTTGAAAACTCGGCTTGTATTGGTATTTTGAGGCAGGTTTCATGGGGATCGCATTTGGCTAATGTTCAGACAAGGTGATGATGCAATAAGAGTGAACAGAAAACCTTCTGTTTCTTTGTAGTTTCATGAAATAGTTAACTGTTTTTCTCCCTCTACCATTCAAATATAAAGCATTCTTTGGCATTCACAGAGGTATGAAGGTATTTTAGTATTCCCCAGTTCTTAAAGCTTAAGGGTGTTTGTCTGCCCGGATAATTGCTAACATTATGCAATGGATGGGGTTTTAACTTTATGACAAAACAACCTGTGTCTACACAAATTACCATGCAATTTGTTTTCAAGTAAAAATGGGGAGTACAACAGAAACATACTTACATCAACTGTCTGATGATTTTGTTTGTAATTTTGTTTGAGGAAAAAGGGACTGATGGGTATTTGGCGCATAGAATAAATGATGGAAAGAATTTGTTGTAATGCCAAACATGGACAGAACTTGTGTGTTTCAAGTGGTTGAACCAGTCAGTCCTGCATTCCATATTAGAGGGATGGATATTTTCAAGTGTTTATTGTGTATTTTAGGGTAATATTTTATGTTCTGTGAAGAGGGATTGATTAGAATTTCTAACAGAATAATGTTCCCGACACAAGTCATAATTTTTACAATTTTCGTTTGATTCATGTTCTATCCCAAGATCTCTGCAGTTAAGAAGATAACAAGTTTGCTATGCAAGATATCCCTGTAAATTTTTAGAGAATTCCCTGTATTTGTCAAAAGGAGAGCAAAAAGTGGTGATGTAATGGTTAATTTCAGAACACTTCACAGACAGTTTTACATTCTTAGTGATGAAATATATATTCCAAGACTTTCAAAATATTTTGAAAGTATTTCAAATATTCTAGAATTGTTTGTTTTCAGAAGTTGTGGAATAACATTTTACTTTAATATACAATGCTGAATTTGTTTAAAATGTTATACAAAATGAGCAATATATAAGATATGAAACAACGAAATTCTGTCCTGAAATGGTGTTACTGATATTAACACATACAAGAGATGAATCCCAAGCAATACTGCCATTAATCAAGCAAGGAAGAAAAAACCAGGGGAATATGTTAACCTCTTGTCAGTAAACAGATTGTTAGAGCCCGTCTACTTCTTCATAAAATGCTTTAGATCATTGTTCCAACATTTCCAGATGATTTATTTGTTATATCATTCTTTTCTTATGTATTTTTCAGGATTGTGTAATTTGATATGTATATATAAATATATTTTATATTCCTTAAAGAAATTGGACTGATAATCAATGTTATTTTTAACAGTTTTTGTGTTATATAACTAACAACGATAAAACTTTGACTTTTTAGTAAGATTTACCAGTAAACTTAATAAAATTTTGATCTTTTCTGATGATAAACACTTTTCCAATGAAAAGTTTTCAAATGATAAACATTTTTCCAATGAAAAGTTTTCTCATGATAAACATTTTTCCAATGAAAAGTTTTCTCATGATAAACATTTTTCCATTTCTCATGATAAACATTTTTCCAATGATGAACAGTTCCAATGTCTTTAAGATTTTTTAAGATTTTTTTAAATATTTTCGTCAAACAATGTTTTATTGACTATTATATATGTACAATAAGACTGTTTCCTATATACCTATTATATACATAATGTATATTGAAATCTGTCTTTCTTATATACCATTTATTTTTCTAGCTGTCCTCTTATGGCTGAGTGTAGCTGTTATAATCTGTTTTTCTTTTTCCAATGTCTCGAATTTAGACCACAAGTATGGGCCGTCTCCAGCATTCATTATCTGTAATGGGTTTTACATCATCTTAATGGTAGTGCAGAAATATACTCCATGCACATACTGCAATAGATATTCAGTTTCGAATTAAAGATCAAAGAACTGCATAAAGAGATTTTATCACAAGAGCTTTTTTTTTAAAGTACTGTCAAATGTACTGTAAGTAGGAAATCGTTTTAAAGAATAAAATGATGTATGAGTGAACATGCAGACACTCAGATCTCTGTGAGACTGTATGGAAATAAATGTGGATGGCAGACTTATTTGAATGAAATAATGGTTATATTTACAAAACAAAACATGATTGTCATTGAAGAGCATTGTGATAATGGCAATATTAGTGGTCTTATGAATTTGATGGACATTATACTGGCTTTGTGAAATATAGATACTGTATCTATATTATATAAATAATGGCATACTAGCTATTGTAATGATGACATAATGGGCATTGTATTAATGAATAAGACAAATTTAGCATTGCATTAATGGCACTTAAAAGTCATGTTGAAAATGGCATGATGGCTATTGTAATGACATAATGGGCATTGTATAAATGAATAATGACATAATGGACATTGTTTTAATGAATAATGACATAATGGACATTGTTTTAATGAATAATGACATAATGGACATTGTTTTAATGAATAATGACATAATGGACATTGTTTTAATGAATAATGACATAATGGAATAATAACATAATGGACATTGTATTAACGAATAATGACATAAAGGACATTGCATTAATGAATAATGACATAATTGACATTGTATTAATTAATAATGACATATTGGGAATTATGACATGATCGCCATTTTAATGACATAATAGACATTGAAATGACAGTGTATCCATAATTATTTAAAGGCTTATCTGATAGTATATTGATCTATATGATGATGTAATAACTGAATTATTAATAAAATAACTTTTTTGTTTGAAAAAATTACCAATACAAGCAATTTATATTCATTTATATATAATTATTCACTCTGAAGTGGATTATATTGTGGATTTGTTTCCCCTTTAAATAGATGAAATGAAAATAGGCTAGGCAGCCCATATTTGTGGTCAACTGTTGATTAATAGCATGAGTTGTTTTATTTATGATAATGATAAATTTATTGTCCTGCACTAAAGGTCATCCGGGAATAATGGTTGCAACGATGCCGGGATATAGTCCGGCGCCACAACTAACCCTAGGAGCCGCAGGCCTTGGGAGCCAAGCACAGCTTTGTGGTACACAAGAAAATATCTCTTCTTAAAGACAAACTAACCTCCACATTTTGTCGGAGCTTCTCTGATTACTTCCCCTTTTTCTCTTTGAAAACATTTAATATTTTTATATTCACTTTTTAGCTTTTTACTTTGGTACCGTCTCGTGGGCAGCTACTCTTGTTGTGGCCTTGAAACCTTCTTTTTATACTTATTGGTGTACTATCTAGCATATAACTATTCTGTGCTTGCATGCATCAAAAACAATGACTAGATCTACTATTCATCTCTACTGAAACTTATATATTTATAGATTTGTTGCAATATGGTCATGAATTGTTCATAAATTTTATTAGCATGTACATGCCAGCTGATCAGCATGTACAGCCTGCACTGGTCGTGTGCGTAAAATCTGTTGCTACCAGCAGGCTAAATCTTAACCTCTTATTCTGACCATACAAACTGAAGTAAAACAAAATTACAAAGCTTTAGAAATGAGCTGTGTCACGACAAAACCAACATAATGAGTTTGCGACCAGCATGGATCCAGACCAGCCTGCGCATCCATGCTGGTAGCAAACCCATTATGTTGGTTTTGTCATGACGCGGCTCAATTATGTTTTTGGTGTTTTTTGATGCAAGTTAAGCTCACTCTTGTCTTCTCATGACTCCAATCATGAGATTCAAACTTTTTCTCATTTACATAACTCTGCTCTTTGACACTGGAACACAAGAGCAGACATTACTGTAGATGATTCTTACAAACTTTCTTTTCCATTGACTTGGTGAAATGATTTTGTTTTGTAAATTAATTGTATCACAAACAATATTGCAGAGTCTTATCACTTGCACTTAATTGTCAAAAGAAAAAAACAAACCTATTAATAGGTCCAAAGGAATTCCCCTGAATTAATAGATTTTTCACATTTTACCCAATTAATGGATTAACTCAATGCACCTTTCAAGATGGAACAGTCATCACCTTAGTCACTGGAAAAACCTCTTTTTATTCCACTCTTTCTAGCATGGTATGTAGATACAGTATTACAGTTTTCTCGGAAATTTCTCTCAAAAAATTTCCACACTCTGAAAGGCTTTTTGCATTATTTTCTTTTCTATGATATATATGTCTTGCATTGCATCTATGAATTCTTCCAGCCAGGGATTTATTTTCCTTACAAATTTAGAAATCATTTAACTTAGATGGCATCATGTTCATATGATTTCTATGATTTTTATGCCAGATGATGTCTATAATGATACGTTTTCGAATAAATTGTTTTGCCGATAACTGGCTGATCCCTGTGTTATGATGGGGAATACGAGGGGAGAAGTTATTAGAAGCAATGACAGGCATTAATCAAGGAAGAACTATATTTCTGTCTGCTATATTATTCAGATAAACACTTATATTGAGTGATGATTTAGATTTTCAGGATTTTTCTTGACATTTCTCTTCAGCTTGTAAACCAGTCTATTATAGCCGGACTGCTTCCCTAAAATTATGTTATTATAAGAAGAAATGAAGATAACAGGTTGTTTCAATGAGAATTATATTAGACAATAATATTTATACATCAGAAAAAGTGACATGCATAGTTTGTATATTATATATTTATACTGAAGGCTGTTACAACAATTCTGAGATTTTTACAAAGATTTTTATATAAAAAAAAGAAGCACAGTCACTAATAAATAGACAGGTTTACAGTCAAGATAAGATTTTTTTTTATAAATGTGTGTGATCTGATCTTTCTCATATTTCCTTGCCTTTTAGCCTCTGGCATGCCAGGTCTTGCAGGTAAGACTTCAACCTCTGACCTATTCTATGGAAGTCAATACTTTGAACTGAAATAACCCATATTTTATATTATTCCGATTAAAGTAGTTATTGTTAATTTTCTGGTGACTTTTCAAATGGTAATTTTAGTTTCATATAACTTAAGTTTGTACTCCTTTCTTTTAAAATTATTAACTAGTTATATAGGCAAAGCTCAAAGTATTGACTTCAGTACTCAGTCTTTCCTATGAAAAAAACAACAACAAACCATATAGTCTATGAATATGTAGCTCCTGGACTTCTTTAGTTAAATAAACTTACATTAATAATTATTTATTTATTTCATATTATTAATCTGAATTAAAAGCATAATTTTCTTAAACTTTAAAATTACATTCCTTTGTTCTATGGCATGGTACTATAATTGTATGCCCCTGTATTGAAAATGTATACCCTATACTCTTTGCCTGTTCTGGTTTTGGTAAATTTGCACGTGCATGTAAAATGACTGTCATCTCGTGTTTATATTTTGACTGAATACTATACAGGCCTGCATGATGGGATCCCATTCTGCTGTGTATTATTACTTGAACGAAAAAAAAAAATATGCACAACTTTTTCTCATTACTTGTATTCTTTATCCTACAACAATCTTCTTTCAACAAGAAATGACAACAACAAAAAATTGCATCCTGTTCTATAATATATACAGCTTGATCATTAAATTATTCTCTTATAGAAGCTTGTAAAAAAAGAGAAGGAATTAATGAGAGTTCATTAGAAACTTTGAAGGTTGCATTTGTCTTGCATTTTGTGAAAATAATTGAAGAATAGACTCTGAAGCTCTGGAAACCTTTAATTAAATGCTGCATTGATGATGTTTCTATCAATATCTTATAAGAGAGTATTATATCTTAAATAAAGTACACCATTACTGTCTTGATATAATAACCTCGCTGAATGTACCAAATTTCCAATCTCTTTTCATGGATGGCTTTTGTTCCCTATTGAATTAATTTGGCACTTAATTTTCATATGGATACCTTCTATGTAAATCAATGAAGTATACTTTTCCGTGCTATTGACTGCCCGATTCCTTTGTCTCGGAATTTTTCGGGATCTTTTCTCAGAAATGTACGATATATATTTCGGAATGGTACTATCTGACTTTGTTGGAATGGTATGACTCGGAATTGTCTGATCTCGTCCGGTCTCTTGCATTCTGATCTGCCAACTTACTGCTAACATCTTTATTTTCAAGCAGTAGATAGAACAATTCTCGTCTTAATTTTAATGTAATAAACTAATTTACTGATCGAACTCATTAAAAAATTTAATGTCTTTTACATTGCAGTTAATAATTTTTAACGCACAAAACAAAAATATTTTGTTACAAATTAAGTAATTTCAAGAAAATACAAGATGTTTTGTAAAGTTCTTCAATTAAAATAAATTAGAGAAGTAAATAAGATTTTCTAATTATAGTGTTGAAGAGAATCCCAGATAATGTTGATAATTAAAAGTAATGGTAGATTGAAAAAAAAAAACAATCCTTAAAAAAAGTAGTGCATATTTTTATTTACTGAAATTTAGCAGATGCTATGGTGATGTCATCTACAGGCCAGTTAGTGCCAGTCATGGACACCTTACTCACACCAAGTATAGTTGTTTTCTATTGCCTCCCTTTATTCATGTAAATATAAGTGAAAAAGCAGTCATTATTACCTCCCTTTTTAATGTTAAAAAAAAAATTGAAATGTTTCAATTTTAAGACTGTGTATCAGTGTAGCTTTTAGACAGAAAAACAATGTGATCCAAACAGTTAGATAAATTTGAAACATTTTGTTGTTCAGAATAGTGCTGTATCGATTTAAATGGGGTGGGTGGGGGTAAAGTTTGGGCAAAAGATTAACACAGTAAAATTTTACTTTGATTTTTAAGTTACAAGATCTTACTAAAAAGGGTAATTTCTATGAATTTTTCAAAGAATTACTTCAGTAAAATTAACCAATGAATCTTTTCTGTAAATTTTCCAAAGAATTATTTCGATAAATTTTCCAAAGAATAAATTAAGCATTTTATGTTCAAAACAGTGTCTGTTTGAATATGTCATAAAAAGCTACACTTTGTACAGTCTATGCTCTTACATGTATGCCCTTTTCTCATACATATATGTATAATATAGAAAATACAGCAACATAAATTGACCAGAAATAAGCCTATATACACGTGTTTAAAGCTGCATAATCATCCAGATGAGCCAAAAAAAAAAATTTCAAGAAAAACAACCAAGAAAAATGTACTTGGACTTTAAGAAAAGTTAGAATAGTTTCAATTAAAGTAATAATTTACTTATTGCATGCAATGAATGACTAATTTTACAGTTCTTATCACCATAATTTTACTGTGTGACTTATGCAGTATGCGCTAGGTTTGCATATTTTGATTTCATTTTGATTATTTACGTGGCTTGTAAGTCCTGATTTCAATTCATAAATTACTTTTAAGCTCGACTATTCGATAAGAATAAGTTGAGCTATTGCAGTCACCCGAGCGTCGGCGTTTGCGTAACCACTTATGTTAAAGTTTTTGTAATAGTTCAAATATTTTCAAAGTCCATGGACATATGGCTTTGAAACTTTGCACACTTGTTCACCATCATGACCCCAACCTGTAAACAGGAGGAGGTAACTCTATCAAGCATTTTGACAGAATTATGCCCCTTTTTCGACTTAGATTTTACGTTAAAGTTTTTGTAATAGTTCAAATATTTTCAAAGTCCATTGACATATGGCTTTGAAACTTTGCACACTTGTTCAACATCATGACCCCAATTTGTAAACAGGAGGAGGTAACTCTATCAAGCATTTTGACAGAATTATGCCCCTTTTTCGACTTAGAATTTACGTTAAAGTTTTTGTAACACCTCAAATATTTTCAAAGTCCATTGACATATGGCTTTGAAACTTCACACACTTGTTCACCATCATGACCCCAACCTGGAAACAGGAGGAGGTAACTGTATCAAGCATTTTGACAGAATTATGCCCCTTTTTCGACTTAGAATTTACGTTAAATTTTTTGTAATAGTTCAAATATTTTCAAAGTCCATTGACATATGGCTTTGAAACTTTGCACATTTGTTCACCATCATGACCCCAACCTGTAAACAGGAGGAGGTAACTCTATCAAGCTTTTTTTTTACTATCAAGCACTAAGAATAGTCGAGCGTTGCTGTCCTACCGACAGCTCTTGTTTAATAGCACAATATATACCGGTATATAATTTTTAAATATTTTAAGATTTTCATGACAATTAGCACAAATCTTGAGATATGCTGCTTTAACATAACAAAAATAAAAAACAACCCCCAACCTATTCTTATGCAGACATGTTAAAAAGTAAATAAGAGCGGAAAGTACGGAGACTTTGTGTAAAAATTGCACTTCAGAGAAATGGAGGCAGAAAATCAGTAATGATGCCATATCTAGTGATACTCATAAAAGTTAATAGAAAAATAAATGGAGAAGTGATATGACAGGGTTATACTAGAGGTGATTTTTAGACAAGAGAATGGTTTTGGCTCCCAGAATGTGTATTGAATCATCCCTCCCTCGAGTATTCTGGTCAATTTTGTTGAGTATTTTTTAAAATCCAATAAAGTTACTGCTGTATTAGTAAAAAGAATCTGCTTAAATTTGGTGTGAAGATTTTTTTATTGGTATTTAGTACATGTTGTGGTGCATGGTTGATTGGTTTTACCATTTTTTTTTCCATGAATATTAGAATTATTTCTGCTATTAGGCAAAACAATTATATTTTCATTTTTAAATTTGAATTGGCTTGAAAAGAAATTTTGGTAGTGCTTTATTATAACATAAAGGACAATAGCGTATATAGTTTATGATATAAAGTTGAAAAATGCATGCTTAATACATTTACATAAATAGTTAGATATTTACTAACTTGCATTGAAATGTTTTGGCTTTTTCAAAGTGAAATGGAGAAAAAAAAAGAAGACAAAAAAAAAAGTTGAGTGATTGAAAAATAACTGATTTAAGACTGATTTCAAGAAATTTATTGTTGATTTTCTCAGGTCCAGGACCCCAAGGGATGGGTAACATGGGCGGCATGGGAGGTATGGGTATGTCTGGAGGAATGATGGGAATGCAGGGATTGAACTTCGGACTCCAGAACACAATGGCAGGGAGACTTGGTATTCCCGGCATGCAGCAGCAACAGATGGGCAGCAGCGTGATCCTCGTCTCAAATCTCGATGAACAGGTATAGTCTGTTACCATAGTAACTGTAATTTCTTTATTATTTTTTTTCATTAACAAATCTTTCAATTTTCATTAGTTCTCGAAAAAAATGTCATGCTACCCGTATTTTTGTAAGGAAATTAGTGTTCAAATGAAGAACTGGAAGAACTATATTGTATTTAATTTATTGCTTTAGATTAAAAAAAAAATCATGCTTTTTTTCTGTACGAGTTTTGAGATGGTGGAAACTGTTATTTTGGAAAATTAACTTTTACTTCCTGCTATGAAATCAGTTTTATCGGTTATATATCTTTATAGTTGTGTATCAAACATCTGTTTTGTTGCACTTGCTTTCAGGAAGCAGACGACTCGTTTTTGATTTTTTTTTAATTTTTGATTTTTAAAGACCTATTTTAATTATATTTGCATTTTGTTGAAATTTCTTGTATATGCATGTAATGTTTCTTTGAATGACGTTGCTATAACTGATTATGAATGACGATTGATTAATGAAATATTTCGACACTACAGCCATTGCCAATATCTTTGTCTGTCCATATTATGGTCTGCCCAATATTATATTAATATTTTTCTTCATTATAGAACAGAAGTATATATCTGCACTTTGTCCTTATCTGAGGTCAATGAAATATTTCAGAGTAAAAGCATGTCTGGCAATTCTGAAATCTGATTGGTTAATTTTAAAAATGAATAATTTAAATTTTCCAATGGCAGAGTTGCTAGTTTGTCTGGTTTAATGTTTTGCTAAGATCAACTAAAACAGACTGTAATGATTTATAAAGTAATATCATTCTTTTCCACTCAGACTGCATGGACAAGTCAAAGTTACATTGTTCATAATACTTTTATATTTATCAAATCAACATGAATGCTTAAATTTTTGCACAAGGTTTTACATATTATGGGTTAACCCTTTCCATGAAAAAAATTTGAATTGGACTTGTCCATCTTTCAATCTGAACAAAACCATTCATCTTTTTAGGGACAATTTCAAAATAAATACTAACTGAATAGCACACTGTGCAAACCATGACTGGATGGCAAGCTGACCTTGGTCTGTACTGGTCACATGGGTAGAATGGGTAAAATCCCAGCATAAGGGCAAGGTTATTTGATAAATACTCTGTTTCTATAGTGAAGAACTTGTAATCGTAAAATCCAGAGTTCTGACAATATAGTGTGTACAAAATGTTAAAATGCATGACACTATCTCCACATGGTTTTAAAATCTTACCTGAATTTCTTATAACCTGATTCTACCTTGTATAGTCTCCTGACGGGTTGTGTCTAAAACCCGGATCTGGCTGTATGGTGACGAGAATGTAGAATGCTGTCTGAGTCACTCTACCTGTATATTTTTTGCAATATTTAATATAATTATCTGTTCTCTATAATTTGCATGGATCTTGGCACGGGTTTAAATCTTTATACCTATATCAACTATTCTAGAATACTATGGTCTTTTTTCTTTATTTTGAGAAAAAAACAACAACAACAACAACAACATAAAATGACAACAACAACAAAACATAAAAAAGAATAAATAATTAAAAAAAAACAACAAATACAACAAAAAAACAAAACAAAAAAAACAACAATAAATGAGAATCTGTTTAAACCAGTTACAACAAAACATCATGTTTTTACTGGAAAACATTGCTACAGTTTATTCTAATTGAATTTATTAGTATACCAAATGCCTTTGCCTGCAAATAGAATAACAATCATGGCATGCTTTACAAATGTATATTAAGCAAAATTTTGAAGCATTTAAAAAAAATAAAATCGAGAGACTGGTATGACTGGATTGATGGTTAAGATGTTTGAGTAAAAGACTGGGGGGAAAAAAACAACAATAAGTCAATTTGTATAGAGGGAAGAGAGAGTAACGAGAAGATTGCATGTTTTGTCATCAAAACATTATTTTATCTGCATGTATGGTTTTAATGGATACAGCATCTTTGCATGATAAGACTTTTTCCGTTGGAAATCCAAAATGTTGTTGCATAATATTACTCGATGCATCATTTTTACATGACTGAAATGTACCGGCACTGAAATCTATAGTGTTATAAATTATCCTGTTTTCAATATCTTATTTTTTTTTTCCATCATTCATTCTGGACAAAACCATTCATCATTTGTTAAGGAAAATTTCTAACTAAGTTCTGACAGACTAGCGAACAGTGCAGACCATGATCAAAAGGCAGAGATATGCTGCTTTAGATATTGGCTTGTTTTGGTGGCACGGGTAATATTAGGTGCCACCCGCAGCATCAACTGTTGAAACAACTCTTTTTAGTGACACTAATATTATATGCATTGCTTTAATGTAATAAGAAGCTTATTCGTGATGCTTTCATATAGGCTTCTTTAGAGTTCCTTGCAGTTTTCAAGGTCAAGGTCATCTTGTTCATTCACTACTAAAGTAACAAGCTAAGTATCTGCTTATTCATTGACTTGTAAAGTTGAGCCCTTCACATTATTCTTTGGATGGCAAGGTCACTGCCATATCATTACTTATAGACCAATTAAGCCAAGGTCATTTCATTGTTTGACCAGCAAGGTTAAGGTCATCTTATAGTTTTCCTGCATTAATCTAGGTCAAGGTCAACAACCATTTGCCAGAGCATGTTTTGGGGGTCATTATTATAAATTTATGACATACTAGCTTTCATTTGTTGCAAGGAAAAATTGAATTTGTTTTATTCTCTATCAGTTCAAGTTTATTTTATAAAATTGAATGAAGGTTTATGGTGATTTCTTAATAGATGATATCAGATAGTTTATTCCATGATTCAGCAGAAAATAGGAGACAAAAATTACGTAAAATCTCTCAATCATTCTTCAAAGCAACAATCCTTTTAGAAATGAAGACGGCATGACTTTGCAAAATTGTCAACTTAATTAAGCAATGGTTTAGAGCTAAATCGTGCATGCAATATATACCATGTTAGATATTTTATGGTAACACTCTACCTATGTTCTCCTTTGTTCCCTTAGTTCTGGTGTTTTTTTTCTCCAAAGAATCAATGTTTTAATAGTGTCAAGATTGTAATGAAAATATCTGTCATTTTGAAAAAAGTTAAATTCTGATTATTATAAAAATACGGTACTTGCTTTATCACCTAAGTTGATGTCTGGAGGAAGAAAAAGGGGAGATTTTACAAATTGTATAATATACTTGAGTTGTGCTTTGAAATAGTTGGCAAAAACAAAATCACTATCTTGCATAACATTTACAAATTTACTGCTTAGATATAACTTTTTGTTTTTCCTTTATTTTGTATTTTTATAGCATTCTGGGATAATCTGTCTTTATAATGTTTCAAACTTTACTTTCAGCGACACCTACTTATGATGAATTATACGCAGAAAAAGTAGTTTCCACCAGTTCAAAACTCTACCTAACTTGTCTTTTGCTTTGTATATCGGGATTAATTTTTTGGAAAATCGAGTGCAAGTTACAATTGTCCATGTTGTTGAATAGGCCTGTGGTTGGATTCCATTAAAAAACAAAATTCTGTAAATCATTAATGTCTGAATTTTGAAATCTGATACTAGTATTTGTTGATCAATTTTCTATTATGTACAAAAGCCCAGCTATACAAAGCAAAAGCATTTTAGATTTTATATGATTTTCAAAGTATTTTGCCATGCGTCATTATTCTTTACCAGTAGAGTCCGTCCAGCTTATTATGATTTATTTAAAAAAAAAAGAAGAAAAATCGAAACAAAAATTGGAGAGAGAAAAAAAATTATTTGCTATAACTAGATGATTGATATGGACAGCACCCCTAATGTATTTTTCCATGTTATTTTCTATTTCCCGTTGTTTTCCCCCACTCTGCTGGTGTAACTACTATGACCGTGGCGTCACTGGGACTTGTACTTGATACCCCCTGTCATTTCTACCACTGCTGTGCTCTATCTGACTGTGGCTGTACATTCTGCAGGTCACGCCCGAGGCTCTTTTTACCCTCTTTGGTACGTGTGTAAGCACTTTTATTCTTTTATTTACTTTATTGATGTCTATTTGTTTGTTTTTTTTTCCATAAAAAAACAAAAACGACAAAAAATATCAACATTTGCTTAGATACTTTGAGAGAGATAGACAAAATGTTTTGAATTTCTTGAGTTAAATTGGGGACTTGAGGCGGGGATTATTCTTTTTTGGGGGGGTCAGAGAGAAAGCATTGTTATTTTGATTAAGGGTGTCAAAAAATGGGGGGGGGGGAGGGAGGGGGTGTGTATTATTGTTTGTCACTAGCGGGCTGATGTCAGTAAAATTGTCTCACTAACAATGTTGTCTATTTCCCTCTATGTGCTATCATTAGAGTTTATCTATAATCGGATGCACACTGAATTTAGATAGAGCCGTCTTTTTGGTAACTTTTCTACTTTAAAGAATTCACTACAGCCTTTTTACTTGTTAACTTCTTCTAACTTTAAAAATCATCCAAATTAATGAAAAAAATTCTTTGCTTTTAAAGTTATTCTCTAATTCTCTAAACAGGAGGAGGAGAAAAAAAATTACAGAAACAACAACAAACCAAAAACGATAATTAAAAAAATAAAATAAAAGAAAATTCAAACAAAACTATCTTGGCAAGATTTTTCTTTTGAGAAATCTTACTGAGATAGCGTCTCAATGTAGATTTTTTGTTTGAAAAAAATGTTCGTTTTTTTTTCTTTCTTTTTGATGAATTTGTTAGTAATAAGAAGGCTGTGGTGGATTAATAGTAAACAGTACAGTAACAGACATTATTTCTTCTGTTTAGTATTTTCTCTAAAAACTGCTTAAAGTAATGTATATATATATATAAACATGTATATATCAGCAAAATTTACAATCCTGGCAATGGCTTTATTTCTAGGAAAGTTGTCATTTGAACACATTAATCAGTTTGCATTGTTTTGTTTGCGCAGCCGCATGTTAAGTTGTTCACTTAAATCTGGTTGTTATTTTCCGTGAAAGTCTGTGTTTTACTAGGCTCCCTTTTTCCGATTTTTTTTTATATTCCTTTTTGAAAAACTGTTTTTAATGATTATTTTATCAACATGTTGAAGAAATTTTTTTATTGTCAGACGGATAGGTTATAATGTGATATGATATTACTTTGTTCACTGTTAAAGTTGACGTTAATTTGATAGTCCGTCATAGGCGAGGTATATTATGTTATCTAAAAATGGCATGAAGAGTGACAATTTGTATAAGAAAGAGGAGCGTACAGTGCCAACATTGAGGGATCGGTTATTATCTTGAACAGCTGATAAAATTTCAAACTTATTGAAATAATAGTTCCTTTTCCTTATCAAACAGCAAGTTATGAAATCAGTACCAAAAAAATTATGATACTTTACTTGTGACGGACAAACAGAATAGGTACATTTATTTGTACAAGTGCCACTGGTGGCATAATTCTAGTCTCGGTTGTTAAAACCGATGGTTATTCTGTTATAATTGACTGATATTGACATCTCGTGCACATGTACGAAGATTTTAAGTGCTGCTATTTCTAGGATTTCAATTATTAATGAGCTATTTAGGAAATTAATTGCAAGACCCAGACTGTGCTTAATATTTTTAATGTATTTGGTAGGAGGGATGGTTTGAAAAACGATTGTCGTGTTCCGTTTATATGATGAATATCAATGAATTACTTACGTCATGTGGCATTTCCGACCTTGTTGCTTAATATCAGATGTCTGTTTTTGTATATATAACAAAACAGAATATTTTTATAACAAATATTAACATGTATATTGGTGTTGCTATAGGTGTTTATGGGGATGTACACCGGGTGAAGATTTTGTTCAACAAGAAAGACAATGCCTTAATACAGATGGCCGACCCCCACCAAGCTCAATTAGGTAAGATAAGATAAAGTGTGTCTATGATTTACACACACCTGATGTAACGAGACACATCTGTGTGTAAATAGGTTGCTAATTTACAAAGAGTCACTATGAACAGTTTGTAACTAAATATAATTACAGTTAGTAATATTTTAAATAATTTGATACCTACGCACTTATTTTTTTGTTGTTCAGGACCATACTTATGGGTCCTCAGTTGTTGATTTTGTATCTTTACCCTTCATTGGTGTTGGTTCAAATCCCACAAATGACCTTGGACTCTTTTTTCATGTGAGGAAGCTATTTAGCTAGCGCACAGGATGATGGTTATAATCTACACCGGTACCTTCATAAATGCATGAACGGGTGGGACCCTTAGATCCTCCTTCCCGAAGCACCATGTGACCTTTACAATGTTGCTTGACTTATACCACTTCCGCTAAAAATTTATAGTAGCATTGATTGTGATCTATGCCTAGAAAACGAACTTTAAATCGAACATGTGGAAATGTTTTGAGCTACAAATAGCTTTAAACAAGTGCCAATATGCTTGCCTTTCACAGAGTTGGCATCTTAAATAACTGATTAATATAACAACTTTGTTGCAACATGATAAGATTTTAAGTGTCGTACAAATAATGTTGCGTGTCCCACAGTGTTTCTCGTAAATAAAGCACCTAGAAACTCTGAATTTAGCTTTAAATTCAGGAGAGAGAAAAAAAATCAAGTGGGTAAATCAAATATGAAAGATTGGGAGCATTGTTAACATAGGGGATTGTATCTCTTACAAGAATTCTGTTTCCCAAATTTATCTCCCAATGTAAAACATTTATCGAAATTGTCATTCATGCATTTTCTATGACAATTCTATATTGATTAATTTATGTTCAGAATAAAACCATCGTAAAAGAATTATTGTATAATAACAAGTTAAGACAATGTCTATAAAACTTAAAACTGATATAAATCTTAAAATTGACGAGTCTGTAAGTTTAAGGAATGACACGGGAAAATGTATGTTACAATTGCGGACTCTGTCTGGTGCTAAAAGCCGAGCAAAATTTGTACATGTTTTGTTCCGACACAGATGTCATTTTGTAACGATTTTCTTGAATCTTTGTCTCCTCTATGTTTGTTAATATTAAAACTGAAAAGCTGTACTTAGGTGTCTGAGGTTTGATGTTTTTGTCACCAGTAAGTGTTTTATTTTGTTATCTTTGTCCACTGAGTTTTTGGTATATTAGGATTGGGTAAGTGAAACTTTGCCAGGTGTTATTTTCACGATATTAATGAAGACTCTATGGGGTTACAGATCTGTTTTATATATTTCTTTGTTTCGAGGAAAATAAGAAAATGTGTCTGTTTCTTTTCTCCTGATTGAATTATGTAGAAAAAATATATAATGTTGCAAAGTATTCTGTCTACCAAATGGTGAATTTGACACATTAGCGAAACAAACACTGAAGAATACTTCCTATATAAAAGTAGATTTGACACATTATCGAAAGCTTTAGAGAAATTTGCTAATGGCATTTCCTGGAAAGAAAATTCTATTAAATAATGAAGTTTGATTTTGGAGGGCTTTTTTTTATTGAACAATAGACAACTGATATTGTTTATTATGTACAATACAGGAAGTAAGTTTTCGTATGGCAGATTGTGGCACGATTTGAAATAATGAAAGCTCTATGATGAAAAAGAGCTTTTAGTATAATTGGCATGGCAGTGCGTATTATTGCAGTTTTATATGAAGTTCAAAGTATTTAGTGGCAATTAACATGAATGGCATGATAATTATGCCTGGTAAGGCAATGCAGGCATTAAGTTTGTAAATAATTAATGTCGTAATTTATTAGTATAATACCCAATATGAGGATTGATTGACATTTCAGCGATAGCACATCTAGATAAACAGAAAGTGTGGGGAAAACAGATACGAGTCACTCAGTCCAAACATTCATTAGTGCAAATGCCCAAGGATGGGCAGCCAGACGCAGGATTGACCAAAGATTTTACCCAATCACCTTTACATAGATTTAAGCGACCAGGGTCCAAAAACTGTCAGAATATATTCCCTCCATCCGCTGTACTTCACCTCTCAAACATTCCGTAAGTTTGATTTTCCTCGTAAATTTATTTCGAATGCAGATTATTTCCTTGAAAATATTCCATTTACTAGTATATTTGCATTTCTTTAACAGTATGCAAGTTTGATTTTCTCAGCTTGAACATTGTGTGAGCTTAATTTTCTCATCTTTATAATTGAGTGTATGTTAAATAATTTTTATGTCTCCACCTTGAAATTATTTTTATACCATCTCATAAGCATTGTAGGACTTATACTTACTCATATTTAAGATTTATATGAATTTTAACTCCAACTGAAATATATTCTCAACATTTTGGCAATGATTGAACATTTTGTCAAGGAATTTTCTCAGATTGACTTTGCGTTTCAACAATTTATTTAAGGGCAGTTTCTATTTAACAGTTTATTTAAGGGCAAAGTAAGTGTTATGGTTTATATGAGGGCATGTAAGTCTTGTGTATTTCTTTGAAAATTAAGTTATTGTTATTTTAGGCCAACTGTAACAGAAGAAGAGCTTACTGAAAGTTTCTCACAGCACGGGGAAGTTAAAGCATTCAAATTTTTCCAGTAAGTACAACTTGAGTTTCATTTCATTTCTTTTGGTTCTTAATAGACATTTTTGAGAAGTTTATCTTGCACTCTTATATAGTGATGGTGCTATAGTAATGGTGATAATACCAAGATGCCTGTTTATGTTCTATTTATAGCACAGGGCGGGCATCATTTATTGCACATGTGGGTGTCTGGGTCCGTATGACCGAATGTTGTGTGTGTAACTTAATAAGGGTCTATAGAAATGAGACTTATATATTCAGCATCGTAGTAATATATGTATATTGAATTTATGTACATTTTGTACTGTACATAGCTAGTAGTACCATCCTATATTCCACTGCACATTGACATTTCATAGTTTATTCCATTGACGACAATACAGCTGCACCGTTTTGCTATGATATAATTGACTGCATAAAGTATTCATTGGTTCCTGATGTAACATTGTCTCTAGAATAGATCTCCCTCGAGACGTCGCAAAACAGACGTTTGCGATATTTTTGTAATGTATGTTGTAAATCAGGTATATAGTGACGTTGGAACTGATAATAGATGTTACAGCTTTCATTGTAAATATTGTATTATTGTATGTGTTCTTTGTTGTACTGTGTACTCATCTGTCATGTTGTATATGATTTTTTGTATACTTTATATATGTATCAATTGTTATCTGTATTATTTACTAAGCCTGGGGACAAACTAAATAGCACTCTAACTGCGCGGATGCGCAGGCTGGTCTGGATCCATACTGGTCGCAAATCCATTATGTTGGTTTTATCATGACAAGGCTCATATGTATCATTTGTTATCTGTATTATTTACTAAGCATTGGGACAAACTAAATAGCTCTCTTTTCAAAGAATGGTTTGAATGCAATACATGTAAAAGAGAAGGTACGAATGGAAGTGGTTGTCGAGGACCTTAATGACATGTCTGTGTCTAAACCAATTTAGATCCCTCACAACCGGAACACCAGTGCAATCTGACCAGACTCTAATATCATTGGGCACTAGATTTTTTTTGTTTTTTTGTTGTTTTTTTTTAATAAATTTGGAGGTGACATCCCTTTAAAATACTTCTTTTGGACTGTCAACAAATTAGAAGCAGTAGTTTAGACCGTCCAGTTTAAAAAGTTAACGGGTAACAGTTAAGTTGTTTTGTGTTCAGTGACTAACACTATCCCCAAAATAATAAAACATAATTTGAAGTGTACAATTTAATAAAATGTTATAAGAAAAATGTTCACATTATTTTCACCTTTTTATTTTCAGAAAAGACAGACGCATGGCTTTAATAGAAATGCAGACCGTAGAAGAAGCTATAGTAGCGCTCATTGTAAGTTTTTGACTGGTTTACAAGTTTTTATCTGGTTTACAAGTCTTTGCCTGGTTTACAAGTTTTTGTCTGGTTTACAAGTTTTTGTCTGGTTTACTCTCTAAACACAAGACACATGTCCTCAGTCTCAAATATTAGTAAAGTCTGTTCACACTGGCTGCTTGTGTTTTAAAACTTTCAAATCCCTAGCATTAGCATTTCCAAACTGAAAACCGAGTCAAGGCATAATTATAACACGATAGTGTTTCATTGTTAAATGTAACTTGTTTTGTTTCCCATGATGCCGAATTTAAATACTTAACACAAATATTGATTGATAAATTTCTAATTCATTTTTAATTTCATTTATAAATTCATATATGAATTGGCATTCATAGGATGCAAAAGTCAAGTGAAACATTGACTTGTATGCACCAGACTATTTTTACCCTGAGGCCCCCACCCCAGAGGATTGATAAGGATAGAGGAGAAATAAGCCAAATGTTTACCTGCCAAGTCAGTATGGTAACAAAATTAAGGAAAGTGTTTGAATTGGGGGCATTAATCATGTGCCTGTCCCCTTAACAGGGATTTTGAAAATTCAGGAGTCATAAGTCCCTGCTATACAAAAGAACAGTCAGCTCAACAGTTTTTATTACCTAAAGAATTTGAATGTCAAGTTTTTGCAAATGTTCTACATAATCTGTCTGAAATGTCAAGTAATTCAATTAAATTTATGTTGTTGTTTTTTTGTTCTTTCATAACAGTTTTCAGGAATTAAAAAAATAAAATAAAATGATATGATCATAATAACCTACAAAAAAAATTAAAAAAAATTTAGATATAGATTTTGTTTGTGGAACATAAAATCATTGTAATATGATATGCGACTGTGTCACATTGCTTCTGTAATATTTATTCAGCAAATCCGGGAAAAATGAGAACCAGACATTTCTGACTCCCTTTCCATTATAACGAGATAAATCGATGAAAAACGAATGAATTAATAATGTGGTTTTTGCTAAATGGATAGAACTTGTTATAATTTGTTATTCTTGTTTTTTTATTCACTAGTTGATATTTTAAAGCCTGATAATTGCACAATAAATGATAAATGTCACTTTTGGTCAGGTTGCTATGTTTTGCATATTGCATAACAATGACCTAGTTGTCTTGCTTTAATTTGTAACATTGAAATTTTCATCGTTAAAGTTGTTGCACACAAAAAAATGCCGGACCAAGACAGTGTGATGTTTTAATGAAAATTCTGAATTAATTGAAAAAGTGAAGTGTTTTCAATGAACTTTCAATTGAATATAAAATCTTGTTAAGATTCGAAGGGGGATAAAAATGCTGTAAACTGATCAGTACATGAGGTTTAGAAAAAGGGACTCTGAATTTGCATGATGCTTTTGTTAAAACAAATCCATTAGATAAGACTTGAATTTCATCCGTTTGTCAGTTTGTAGTTAAAAGAAACATGTTAATATTCTATCATTTTAACTTTATTTCTCTTAAGTTTTTTTGTCAAATCTATGGAAAAAAAGAAAGATTTAGTTCCTTTAGACTTTGAAATGATGAGGAATTGTATTGATAGGGTCTTTCGTGTGTGGATATGTGTGTTCATGTTTATTTTCCATATTTAGCCGCGCCATGACAAAACCAACATAATGCGTTTGCGACCAGCATGGATCTAAACCAGTCTGATCAGGATCCATGCTGTTCGCTTACAAACCCTATTACAAGTAGAGAAACTGATAGTGAACAGCATGGATCCTGATCAGACTGCGCAGATGCGCAGGCTGGTCTGGATCCATGCTGGTCGGAAATGCATTATGTTGTTTTTGTCATGGCCCAGCTCAATTTTAATTACTTTCTCAAAGAGTAAACTGCAAATTGCAATTTGTATGCAGGGAGATTAGATACTGGGTTGATAGGTAATTTGTTAGTTTATTATCAGGAAAATGTGATTAGTAGACTGTGTGAAAGTGGAGCATTTTGCAGCACTAATTTCTGTCTTACCCATATTTAGATGCATTATTCTTGACTTTACAATAATTAACAATAGGTTTGTCTGGGTGAAAAAAAAATCATAAAAAAAAACAACAATTTGAACAAACGCGGGGAATAAGCAGGCATAACTGATTTAAATACTGGAATATTTGATGAATGCATCTACTGTAAGAAAGTTTTGTTTTGCTTACACTTAAAAAATTGGTCTGTCTACTTTCATCCATTTGTACATACATACATCCTGTTATCATTATCTGATCAATAGATTGAAAAGGCAGTTGACCCTAGTTGGTTATGAGGATATTAGGTCAGAGGTCAAGGTCATAGTGATGTGAAATCCTTGTCTGAACAATAACTTGACCATGGTTTATGTGCCTTGGTAGGGACATTGCCCATGGTCAATTGATGACCCTTATTTCAGGTCATTAGGTCAAAGGTCATAATCACACAGATAGTATTGATTAACCCTTGTTCCATTTATCACTAGAGTTTTCTCAGTCATAGGTTTGAGAAATTTGATATAAAACATGCTGGACTTTTATGAAATATGCATAAGGATATAAAAAAATTGATTTTTGGATTTTATAAACTATAAACTTTTAACTTGAAGGTTAATTTCATGCTTTGATTTTTCTTCTTCTTTTTTCAGGCTATGCATAACTACCCACTGAGTGACTCCAATCATTTGAGAGTATCATTCTCAAAGTCCACCATTTAGCTGAGCTTACATAATAACACATCATTGTTAGTACAGACCAAGTCATGAATCATCATAATACATGGATAGTTACACCTCTTACATGGCCTCAACTTATATCTTTATCATGAAATACAAGCATGAAAAAAAATCCATGCGGAAAATGCTCACAGAGAGGAAAAGCCGTGAACAAGTACTTACACGAGAAAAAAAAGCTGGGAAGAAGTACTAACAGGGGAAAATTGGTGATTGTATTAAATGAAAAAACAATCTACAAACATTAGAAAACTTATAGTGAAATTGTTATAATATGGACTAATTCAATTATTTTTAATGTATTTTTAATGCATACATGTACAAATTATAGTTATGAATTCATCTACATAGAAGTTATCATTTCCTTGGACTGGATTTTTTTAATGGTCTTTGTGAGATTGCAATTGTACAGGAATATTTTGGTATATTGAACTATTTAACCCTTAACCTATTGGAACTTGAAATAATTTGCCTTGGCCGCCAGTATAGAGCCGGGCCAGTCTGCACATCGGTGAATTCTGACCAGTACTCCATACTAATAGCTGCTTAACTTCTAAATTTCATCTGGATATCCCTAAAATTGATAATGGACAGTTCCAGAAATGGAAAACCAGTCAAGTCTATTTTTAGAACTTCCAGTCAAATCTATTTTTAGAACTTCAGCAGGTTAAGGGTTAAGGATGCTATATTTGTTTTTGAGTCGGTAGATGATTTGTTAAGTTATTTTATGATAAAGATGTAGAAAACATGATGGGAGACTACTCATGTATCATTATATAAAATTTTTGGCTACTAAGTGCCTTCCAAGTTTCATAGTTACAATTTTTTATGTTGTCATTTTTGTGTTGACACGTTGCAGAGTTCTATCAAAGTTGTTGTTAATGTATATTAATTAAGTTTCGTGTTATATTTTTTCTTTTTTTTTGTGGATATAAAGAAATACAAAGGGACTTGGAGCTACGGGTTGACTGCAATTTACAAAATGAAAATCAAATGCAATATTGTTATATTTTACATGTAGGTGTCATTCTGTACTTCCCTAACTTTAGCTACAGTCTGTAGATGCCTAACTGATGTTCATTCTTATTGCCTAACTTGAGTCAATTCTTTGCATACTTCTGTAGTCATTTTAAATTATATGAATAATAACTGTCCAAGTAATATTCAAATTCGAAGAAACAAACAGCAGTCCTTAGGAATTAATCTGAAATCAATATTTAAGAGCATCGTAAATTTTGCACCATGTCTAGGGGTTTGATTTTTCATCGGGTTACAAGACCTTTGTAAGAGTTTAATTTACTAAATTTTATAGGAAAGGATAGAGCATTAACATGAAAATAGTACAAAAGTTACTTACAGGCAAAGTAGTGAAACGTAAGTCATTTTTGTGAAGTCATGTATCATTGCATGTGTCCCATAATTTATTGCAATTTTAACATAGAAATCCAGTACAAGTATTGAAAAATATAGCGGGTGAAACCATCTAGTTCTTTAAATCAAATCATCATATTTGATTGATGTTTTTATTGTATTAAACAATTCATGACTTTGAGAAAAAGGTATTATTACAATTTCATTAAAGATATAAGGTGTTTTTGGTGGGTTTTTTTGGGTTTTTTTTCAGAAATGAACGTTTATTTATTCAATATTTCAAATAATTTAAAACAGAATGCATGTTCAATTTCATTGCTTTAAAACAATCTCAATGTGCGGATATCAAAGTGCCATTTTCAAGTTTTATTTATGTAAATTTAATGTAAAGCTAACTTAATCATTTCAATATATCTATATATATTTACTATCATAATAGATTAATTTTTGTTACTTACCAATTTGGGGAAAAAGAAAGTCTATTAATATGGAGATTTATATTTTTCATATATGTATGTTGTCGAAAACACTAAAATAGCTTGTATCTTGTTATGTGTGTCTAATATTTGTCATTTGAACAATTTATTGTGATAATTTCATAAAAAAAAAAAGGTTAAAACAATGTGTTTTACTCGAGACAGACATTTGTCATTATGCAGCCTGTTTTTGGAGTTATGGCAGATAACGAAACTTAATAAAAAAAACAAAAATTGATTTTATAGATAAATATATATGTTAGCATGTACGAAAATTTTATTTCGTATATTAAAGAAAATTTACATCCTCACTTTAAAACCTGAGATGATTGAAGCTGGTATAAAAAGTCATCAGGATTCTTCATGTGATAGGATTTAAAAAAAAAGAAGAAGATAATTTGTAAGATTGCGTGGCTTCAGGTTTTCACGGGCTATAAAATGGAGAGATATCTCTTTATGCCATCTCCTATGCTCAATCCTAGTACAGCTCTAAGCCGAGGCAAGCTGTACTTTTAGATTTATAACTAATCAGATTTCTGTTAGAAAGCTTAAAAAGGAAAACAAAAAGAAGATAAATTATTGAAAGTATTTGCAAGTCTTGTGCACATATGCTAATAGAATTAAAATATTGTAAAAAAAAAAAAACAACAAAAAAAAACATCAATACACTGCTTGTTTGGGAAAAAGAAAGAAGAAGAAAATGCCACGAAAATGGCAAGCTTGTGTGGAAAACTTAATGAAAAATTTATTAGATTGTGGATGATGAATGTGAGAAAATTAAGACCGTTTTTTTTTTTTTAGTTTTTTTCGCTACATTTAATATTGGATTAATTCTGTTATTTTTTACGGGGGTTTGATATTTTTTGGTATTAGAAAGAGTGAAGTATTCAGTTCCTTAAATCTTATGGAAAAAAAAGCAAAATTACATTTTTTTAATTAAAATAACAGATGATGATCTTGAAGGTATTAAAAATGTTTTTATCTTAATATAATAAATGAATTGTTTTTGGGAACATATGAAAAGATAAACACAATATGCATTTCAAATACTTTCAATAATTTATGTGCATATTTTGGCTAGTTTTAAAGTTTGCTGTTTAAATTCACTGTTTTTATTTTGTTTTCACATTTATTGTATAGAAAAAAAATGACACATCCAAGAAGTTTTGGTTTTTATGTTGAATGTTTTCCAGGGGAAATCAAGGTATCTATCTATTCAAACCATTGACATGATTATTCAGTAAGATTCATTGTATATTTTTCATATATTATTAGAATTTTTTTGGTGTAAATGTGTTGTATACAGTATTTTTTGGATCTGCCAACGGTGGTTTAAATAGAAACTATATGTATATGTAGGGGTTTTTTATTATGATTTGGCAAGCACATATTGTACTAAATTGTTTTTGTAATTATTATTATTATTTTTTTTGCATATCTGGAACTGGTTTTCTAGATATCGTGTATTATTGATTTGATATCAAGTTTTGTTTCATTTGTCATTAGAGAATTACAGATAACAAGCAATTTGACAAAGCTTCTTGGTGATGCTGATTAGTGCATTCTGTTGACACGGATCAGATCTGTATCAACAAATGCTCGGAGAACTTAAGCAGATAAAATTTAGTAGCTTTAATCGTACAAAAGTAAGGTGTTTAAAAAGAAGTGCAATATTTCAAATCATTGTGTTTACACATATGTTATTTTGTACTCAGTAACATAACTATTAAGAGCGAGTATCTTTAACTCACATAAAAAGATGTTAATTTTAGATTTGATTTATATGCTTAGATTTGGTCGTTCAGTGTTCCAAAGATTAGAATCTTAGGAGTGTGCGTAGATTAATTCCATTAACTAAAGAATCCGTATTCTGTTTTTAGAATACAAAAAAACAAAAAACAAATGTTAGGAAGAAAATTAGTTAAATGATTTTTTCTATAGAACACTTAAAAATGGCCATTGATGAGGTATTGTTTGATAAAAAGTTGATAAATTTTTATGTAAGAAAAGTTGAAATGTTTGTAAAGATACATTAAACTTACATGTAGGGTGACTTGGCTACCACAATTCTTGCATTTTTCAACAAATTGTGATAGTAAAAAAGACTCTCTCTGTTGCATAGTTAATTTAAAGAACATATTATGGCTATCAAAGGTTCATGATAAAAGGTAATATTTTGGTTAATTTGCCATGTTTGTAGGTGGTGCTGTATTTAGCAACAAGTACCCTGACCAGAAAACTTCGGTTCCGTGGAATAAACACAGTTCTGTGGTGATGTGGTTGCACGGTTGAGTACTATAAATATTGTTTTATTTATGATTTTCTTGTAGCAACTTTAACTTTACATTGAGTCACAGGTACTTGTGTAATAGAAAATTGTTGTCTTTGTCCAAATTGCCTGTTGTCTGGGAATTTCCTTTTACACACATGACAAGATTTATCATTTTTATTTTATGTTCATTGAAATCCATGCACTAGAATTAGGGGAGTGCATATAATCAGTTAGCAGTTAGAAACTGCCTCACATGTGCAATCAACTGCTTATTGAAATTTTGTTTTTTTTAACCAATCAAAAATGATTATGCAAATACTCTAGAAAAACTCCGCCCAAAACAGTGCATACTAATGAGCTATTTTTCAATTTCAACTCCCATTGTTTTAATTATTTTGCTTTTGTTATTCAGAAATGCATAGTTTGTAAAAAAAAAAAATATATCTGAAGAAAAAAAAACAACAACAACAGAAAATTAGATTTTAGAAGCCATGTTTTAGAAGCTTGGTCATAGTTCACTCTTAAGTCTGTAATGTGTTCACATATAAACAAGTAAATGTTTGAATGCTGATTTTTCACCCATGCATAGATAAAGAGTTATATAAAACTTTAAACAAATTGTTTTTATAATTATGTGAAATACTTCCAAAGAAACATTCGGACAACAAAAAAATGTTGTATAGCATTCTATGCCTTAAAGTAAATAGAAAGTAACAGCTCTGTATTTCTTACACACATTTCTTCAAAATGAATTATAAGTTATAATTATTGAACCATAAAGTAAAGACCAAATGATAATATTTTGTATAGCATATCTGTCAAAGTCAGTCATGGGTGAGAATAGGGACTATTTCAGGATAATGCATAATGTATTTTTTGTTTATTTAATTTAATCAGTTTTTATTAAAGTAACGTAGACCGAGTCATTATGACAATCATTGGACGATAATTGAAAACAAACATTTTTAGATTACATTATAGAAGGTTTCTCGCCCTTTATACGTAATATATGTACAAGTAGGGATTTTAATTTGATTTTATGTTGCAATTATTTTTATATGATGTAATAAATAATTTTTTTTTTTTTTTGCATGATGAAGTTATTTGATGTACATGTATTTTTGTACAAATTAAGAAAATGAAATTTGGTCCGCAAAGAAGGTTAAGAAATCACGCAATGTGCCTCCGTGTACCATGCACAGTTATTTTATATAAATTATAATTTGACAAATATTTGTCAGAAATCAATGTGCCTAGGGGAACAATACTTTATAAAGTGATTTTTTTTTGTAGCTTTTTACCAAATTTGTATTTTTTCCCTCTCTTTTGTTTTTATTTATTAATTGTTAAAATTTCCCTTTTTATAAGGGTATACATGACAAGTTTAATTATTGTTTATGGATTTTTGATTGTGTATTATTAACCCGATATATATTATTGAAAAAAAAAAAGATCTTGTATTTGCAACAGTTGAAATATTAAAAAAACCATTTTGTATGAACCATGTGTTATGTTGAGAAAATTAACCCGGATTCTCAAATTTTCCCCTGTCACTTTATACTGTTTTTCTGGTTCTTTTCTGAAAAGTTCTTCAAATTTCATTTTCACTGTTTGTTTTTTTTCCTTATGTTTTTTTTTTTACAATGCCAATCATGACTAACTATTTTTTCTGGTAAATTTCTCATTTTAACGATGAATATTTCATTAAACATTGTTGTCTCCTGTTCTTCAGTAAATGTTTCTCAATTAAACAGGGTCGCTATGGGAACATATAGTACACATCTGAAATGGTCAGTGACTTTTTATCTAAAAACAAAAGACACGTGATTACATTCGTTTTAAAAACTTGCGTCTGCTAATTTATTCGCCAAAATCGCAAGCACTAGAAGTTGGTTCTGATATTGTTAGAATCAGAAATTTTCTAATTTTACTTTTTTGATGTGAAAATATTTTTTTAATCCAATCTTGACCATTTCAGAGTAAATCTTGACCAAAGAGTGGAAGGAAACAAAGGGAGAGAAGTCATTCTTGTAGTTAATAAAAGATCCTGACTTTGTTGT